GTATATATATATATATATATATATATATATATATATATATATATATATATATATATATATATATGGAACATGGCTGACATGATAAGTTTTTATATATGTATATATATATGTATAAACTAGAGTGTACATCAGTTGGTTGTGTCGGATATAATATGATTTCTTTTAACTATATACGAGTACGTGAACGACTGGTTTGTGCACAGGTTGTGGAAAGATTGAGCTGTGCGTCCTTGATAATAGCCATGGCCTCTCATCATGCCTCGATGATTTCTCGCAAACTGTTCTTTCATCGATGTTCAGTGCTATGGAAACGGTGAGCCAAGGAAAAACATTGGTGATGTTTTCAATATATGATCCACGGCAAACTTTACACGGATGAGGGAACGATCAAGGCCAGGCTCTCCAGTGAGGTTGCTCGCGTTATTTTCCAGTCGGTAAAGTTGCCTGTGTTTACACCAGTGGAGCCAGAGGTGTTATCAAGTCTTGCGTGATGCCTACTTATATTTTTTTGCATTATGAGTTTCTGAGTTCATCTGATTGAATACTGACCTTACCCATACCCTAAAGAAAAGATTGACCTTTCCAAAACGAATCTGTCCTTCGACTGACTTTAGGCAAAGCGAGAAAAGAAACATTACCGACACGTACTGATATTTGTAATGGCCGGTAATGTTTGAAATCAGACGCCTTTTTGGGGAATGTGAGATGGCCGCATTAGTACCTAAAGTATGCTGCCTTCTCATCTGCGCCGTAATATGATACGCCATTTCCTCCTCTAACGGCACACATCTCCGGGAATGTCTACATTCCTGGAAGATGAATTGCACTTCTTAATAGGACGTCCAGAGCAACATGATATTGGCGATGCAAAATGTGACCTCCTGCCCTCTTCTTCAACAGGAGTCAACGGACTTGATTCGAAGAGCAAAGTCAAATGTGTCATAAGACGTGGCAATGTCAAGTACATCGTAAATCATGGTGTTAAAAAGTCAAGTTCATAAAGACGTAACAAAGTCAAGATTATCATTAGACGGGGCAAAGTCCTGACAGTCAAGTACAAAATTCAGACTTAATTCACAAACTTGTGCCTGAAGGGAAATTGCAAAGTCAATTTATGTCATAAGACGTGGCAATGCCAAGTACATCATACATTATGGTGTTGAAAAGTCAAGTTCATAAAGACGTAACAAAGTCAAGTTCATCCTTTAAGACGTACCAATGTCAAGTTCATCATCAGATGAGGTAAAGTCCTGACAGTCAAGTACAAAACAAGTCAAACTTAGCTTGCAAACTTGTGCCTGTAGGGTAATTCCAAGACTTCAGCGTTTAGGAAATCCCTCCGATGTAGAATTAGTATTGTGCCTATGGTTCTCTCTATGTTGTATAAGTTGCAGGACTAGAGTGTTAGAGACCAACAGTTTCTGTAGTACTTTTTTCTGTACAAGTCGATAACGTCCTTGAGGTCACCTTCTCAGGCTGAATTCCCCGTGTGATGTCAGTTTGCGCTCGTGATAAATAACTCAATCCTTTATCTCCAACATCCCCTCGCCCCACCTGCCCGACCTTAACGATCCCACCCCGCAACTCGCCCCTGACACTGGATCAACAGGATCCATCAGATCTCGGGTTGGTCCCTGAGGACGTTCGATAACGTCAGCTGTGGGATCCTCCGTCCTGAGGACTGTGTTTGTTTATTTGTTTATTTTGATTGTTCACGAAGTGAATAGGAGGGAAAAACAGGTGCATACGCACCTTTACAAGTTGCCCTCCCCCATATGTGCACACATATACAACATCAAAATTTACATAGTCAATGACAACAAGTATAAAAATACACAGAATAGGTAATCAATATGGAAGGAGATATACATGGCAGATAGAGCTGGGATCTGCAGGGTTCTGTCGGAGTTGTTAAAAGGTGAACGTGCATTGCCGCAAGATGTGTGATTTCTACTGGTTATTTATAGCTGGGAGATAGGCTTAGGGTAGGGTGGGGACCGTGGGGTGGAATCAGACATGAATCAGATGTATTGTATCAAATTGGTTTGTTTTTTTAAGGAAATGTCTCGAAGGTAGCTGACTTGTTGCTTGGGCTCAGTGTGATTTGTACTGATTATTTATGGCCAGCAGATAGGCTTAGGGTGGGGTGGGGTGGAATCAGATATATCGAATTGTTTTTTTTTCTTAAGGAAATGTCTCCAAGGTAACTGACTTTTTGCTTGGGCTCTGTGGATTCATGTGGGCCGATGTCTTGCATTAGAATTTACACAGTCTAATATTCCTCCATTTGTTTGGGCGGAAGAGGACTTTATTTCCACTTACTGTGTGCCGTAAAATGAATGTGACCTTTGAGTTTGGCAAGGCTGGTGATATTGAGTTAGTTTTATGTGGTCTTTTATCGCATGACTTTATTGTATTTTCCACACTAGCCTCTGTATTATTTCCGTTCTGTTTTATGGTAAAAGTATATCTGTACGTAACAAACATACAGAAAGAAAGGCAAGGGAGATCAAAGAAGTTTATTGATAACTCATCAAAATTTTCTTGAGATCCCTCACAGCTTTCCCACTGTTCGTTAATCGTCTTTTTCATATTACCTGCTACAAAATTAGCCTTCGGGCAAGAATTGACAATAAAATTATGACTATTATTACAATCTACCAGCCGAATGGAACCGTCTTGAAGCCTCCCGCTTGGAACGAACACGGTTATAACCGCGCGAAATTATCCTATCCATTACCTACTGCGGACCACCGCTGATTTCTATAGAGCGAGACGCTGTTTCCATGACAGCCTGTTCTATCATTACGGTGATTACGGGAGTGATTAACCTGTTGTTAGGGCGGGTCGTTCTATACGTAATTCTATTCTATTACGTAAAGCAGCAGTCATGGAATTATTATTACGCCAAAAAGCAGTTACTCAAGCAACTGGATATGATTTTGGAAACGGTCAGACGTTTCAGCTAGTATCCACTAGCTTTAGTGTCAGTGACTGAGAGACCAGAGGAGAAATGCAGGTTGCTTGAGTAACTGCTTTTTGGCGTATCGTATTACCTGGATGTCTAACCTTCATCGACGTATCAGGGTATTACTGTTCCGTAATAATGTAGGCATACCTGCGGTGCTTCATAATCGCGCGTTTTTGCAGCAATTTACCAAACGCGTAATGTATCGACCGTGATGAGAACGTGTTTAATGAACCCGAGGCTGCATGGTGTGGTTACTGTATAGTCGTGATCATCAATAACACCAACAGGTGTTACACAAGCTTTATACCCCAAAAAACAGTTACTCAAGCAACAGCAACTGGATATGATTTTGGAAACGGTCAGACGTTTCAGCTAGTATCCACTAGCTTTCGTCAGTGACTGAGAGACCAGAGGAGAAATGCAGGTTTATAAGCACAACCTATTGATTGATATGCAAATAAGTGAAGATTTTTTTTACTTGGATGTCTAACCTTCATCAACGTAGTCGGTTTATAGGGTGCTGACAAACTTGCCAGACAATATGTACTGATGTAGAGCAGTAATATCTCAGGTAATATAGCGGTAATATCAAACCAATTTAGAGAATCTGAACAGACAAGGTGATTGTCAAGGCTTCAAACGGCGAGTAAATCAGTCTGTAGTCAGATTTGCAATAAGCACCAGACAACCTGAAGTTTCATTTTGCAGCTGCTGTAGAGAGGCCTGAATTACAGTTTAGTGGTAAATCTCAACGGCTGTTACAGTTTGGAGTGCAGGAAATACTTATCAGCACTTCCTGTCTGCGCAATCTGCCTTATTAGATATAGGTTGGACGAGGTTTTGCTATGACCTATGTCCGACGCACTTGGGTTTATTGCAGATGAAAAGTTGACAGATTTTTCCTCAAACTTTCAGGGAGGTTCTGTATGAGATATACAATATCCTACATGGCAAAAGACTGCGAGATCAAGAAAAGTAAGTCAGTCACGGGAAGGGTTTCTCCGCAAGAGTGAAGACACCCTGGAACGATTATGACTAGTGAAGTTTTTTTTCAGTTCATGGACCCAGAGAGTACCTCTACAACTCCCCAGACAGTCATCTCCGCGAAACGTCCAGGAGTAGGAGTGAACACACCATGGAATGATGATGATTTTCCCTTTCTGCTCCACAGACCCAGAGAGCATCTCCACCACTGCCCAGACAGTCATCTCCGCGAAACGTCTAGGAGTAGGAGTGAAGACATAGACACCTGGAATGATGATGACTATTGAAGTTATTTTAGATCTTTTCGAGTCCACGAACCATCTACTCCCCAGGCAGTCATCTCCGCGAAATATAGGAATAGAAGTGAAGACACCCTGGAATGATGGTGATTTTTTGTCTTTCTACTCCACAGAACCAGAGAGCATCTCCAACACTCCCCAGACAGTCGTCACCGTGAAGCGTCTAGGAGTAGGAGTGAAGATGGTGACGATGGAGTAGGAGTGAAGACGGATTGATGTTGACTTTTCTTTCCCTTTTTACTACACAGACCCAGCGAGCATCTCCACCACTCCCCAGACGATCGGCTCTGCCAAACGTCTAGGAGTAGAAGCGAAGACACCCTGGAATGATCTGTATCCGTATCTGTACAGCCGGTATAACCGCACTAGTTCGGCGTAACACACCAGCTTCACAGGCACGCGGCGCGGTAGCAGCTGGCTATATTACGAACGACTTGTTACACCTAACATCTTAACATGATGATGAAGTTTTCCTTTCATCTTTTCCACTCCACAGAATCCACAGAGCCAGAGAGCATCTCCACCGCTCCCCAGACGCTCGTCTCCGCGAAACGTCTGAAGGTTGTGAAGAACAAAAGCCGAGGCCATCCCAGCCGGCGGATGAGGGATGGGACGGCGGTCTGCTGAAGAGTCCCGCATGGATGGCGGTCCAGCAGGTCAGAATGAAAGATGGAGCGCTAATGGAGTCCCGGACAGTCTCCTTTCTTCTAACGGCATGTTGAGTGGGTACTGCGCGGACGGTCTGGGTTTGTTAATCTCGCCGCTCACTCACGGTGCTACTTACCGATCCCTCGGAGGTCGTTCTGTCTATTATTACCCGGGAAAATGTGAAAAGGCAGACTCCAAACCACTTTGGCTCACAAATTGAGTTCGTTCCCTAAAGAGTGGAATGTTAATAGACATATTCGACGAACGATTTGTTTTTTTTTAATACTTCCTTTCATCCACCAGGCTTTTAGATTGCCTATCAGGAAGGACCTCCTTTATTAACATAAATATCCTTTGAGAAATCAAAATGGCTATTTGTAACAGTTTCTCAGTAAGTGTTGTCATGTCGGAAATGTTTGATGACATACTAGTACGTAATACTATGCTATCTGCTAAATGGGCTGTTTTGCTGATGTATGTTGCAATGGTAAGTGAAATCCTTCAGGTCTTCTTGCTTTCCAAGTGTGATTTTTACAGTACTTTGTGAGCAACTCATCATCTCCGGCAACATTTCCTTTGGACCACAGTACAGGCGTTAGTGCAAGTCTGGCCCAGTGCCGTTAACTTTACTGGCCCGCAACGGTGAAGCCACGATTCACCACTGTTGTTTGTTCTTGTTGCTAACAACAGAATCTTCTGCCTTCTACGTTGAACATGGCACATACATGTATACTGCACGTGGATGTCTCTTGTTACGGGATCTAGTAATTGAACAGCAACGGTTTCAACCACTCATTTAACAAGGACCGACGTTTCTATGACCATGCATGTCATATGCAGCAGTTTTTTTAAAGATTTTTTTTTGGAACACACTGCATGTTCATCTACTAACATCTGCAGCACGTTTCCTGGAACATATATATCCACTAATTATGCAGAATGTGGGACTATTCATTATCCACTGCCTTCAAAGAAGTCGAACCCTATAATAGCTAGCGTAGTAGTAGAAGTAGAAGTTTTTTCCAGTATTATACTTGATTGTAAAAGCAATTAGCATACGGGCATGATTTTGCGAATAGTTTATTTATTTATATACTGTATGTGGACTTATTTTATTACGAATACAAGCAATATGATTGCTATGTGCACATATATCATATATGGCCTTTTCTTCACTCACCATCTCATCTGCAGGACGTTCCCCTCCGGAGACACGCTGACGACCGGGTGCGACTCTCCCGACTCCTCCTTCATCACCACCTCGATACTCGGCTTCCAGATGTGCATTTCCGGGGGAGGGGACCTGCAGACGGAACAGCCAAACTCATCAGCGACGAGACAACCATCTATATCGGTAGGTAACATGGTAAGATTTATATTTGAGTCACATAGATTTTTTTAGCATTGGACAGAAAGCACGCAATGTGCTTATACGGAACCGTTGCTCATGAAACATAAAAACATAAATAAAAGGTTGGGGTAACAAATATAAAAGGTATAGTGGACATAGAATTAAAATCGCTGGGCATGATAAGGGTCAAAACCTTCCATTAAACATTAAATACAGAGTGCGTCACCACTATGTATTGCTTTGTTTCAATGTTGATCTAAAAAGATTAAAACTACGATGTACTGTTTTTTTTTTGCCCTCGTCAGAATGAATGACCCATCATTTGGAACACGTGACCATACGGACACGAGACTCCAGCAAAGAGACAATGATGCCTGTATAATCTCGTGGTCAGAATCTTCTTAAAATTCCACAAGTATTTCAAACGTTTGGTATGTTGCTGCTGTCGTGTACATGTGTAAAATCAAACTCTTAAATTCTAATTAGCTACATCAATTATTGTCTTAGTTTAATTAGCAATTATGATTGCCTGATGCTTGCAAAATGATCACTGCGTCCCTGCTGCCCCGAACTTAATGAAACATTTAACTATCCGCAAAGTGAAACCTGATTTCAGCTCGGTAAGGCAAGCTTTAAAACACTTAACATGATTACGGTGGTAATGGCGGTTTTATGACATGCTCCAGCCCAAGGCCTAATAGTTTATAACAAGGTAAGGGTATGGAAAGCGGGATAAAACGTTCATTACTTCAGGCAGGGCTTGGGGAGACTCGGTGCAGTAAACAGCGGTAATCGCGTTATGAAGTTGATAGAGTCCTGTAAAAACTTTATCCGTGTTTCCTAATCTGTGCCTTCCTGCCAGATGGCACGTTTGTTTCGGAGGTTAATATGATACAGGTTATTAAAGTACGCCAAGAGCTATTCGATACTTTACAATTAGACAAGATGTGTAAGAACATGTCAAAGCAGGACATGTTTAAACACTTGATGTCATGCAAGAACGAATGTACAGTAGACAAACTATGTAATTATGTTTCTAAATGTTTCAAAAAGAGAGAAGAAAGGGCAACTAACAGTAGATGATAGGTAGTATATAGTATTGTTGTATTGTATAGATTCTTAGCACTTTGCATTAGAATATAGCGTTCCAGTATGAAATACTCATGTTTTACATACTGGATATCCTCTTGTGCATTTAGCCCATCTGGGCAAGAACATGCAATAAAGATTCATATCAATTAAAAAGATAACGTCCCGCCGCCTGTGGCTAAATGCTGAGATTGTTTATCGTATACATATTTCACGTTGACATTTAGCTATACACACAGCTATAGGTTCATATATGATTGCATTTCATAATTCATGAAATGTCTTGCTGTTCGTAAATAAATCCATTTTATTTTGTCCGATCCTTGATGTTACATATGCATTAGGATTACTGGTGCAGTATGAGTGAAGGGTACTGTACAATATAAACCGCATCTGTGTCGGTAGATAACAGGATTATCATGATTATCATGAAAGTTCATCTGTGTTGGTAGTAATCATAGTAAAACGTTAAACTTTATTCCAACACACTATTTACAGGGATCAAATTTTCAGTGCACTTCAGCCTTCACTTATAAGCTTAATAGAGATGGTGAACGATATAAACTCCCTGGCACTTTTGATCAATTGCTTACGTCACGTATCAGTAAAGTCTCGTGTGAATATGGTCACGTGTTTGTAAACCGTAACTCTCGCGAGATCACGTTGTGATTACTTATCCTGATGAAGGCGACAGTGGTCGCTGAAAATTTGATCCCTGTAAATAGTGTGTTGGAATAAAGTTTAACGTTTTACTATGATTAATATGACTCAAATAAAAGAAGGAAATCTCATCGCATAGTGAGTAAACTTTTATGTTGTTCGATCAACACTATAAACTTTTCAACAGGATTCTGATCTGAATTTTTAATCTAACAGAAGTAAAGTAATTCATGATAAAATTTTCTCCGGCTTTCTTCAGGTATGATGACCATTTGCGTCTGACACGTGACTTTCCGGAAACGTTATGACGCCACGTTTCCGGTAAGACACGTAACGTGAATGGGGCATCAAACCTGACAAAGAGGAACAGTCGGCTGTACGATGCTTTTCTTCTTGTGTTGATCAAAAGTTAAAATTGCAACAAGAACTTCGGCTAGGCATCATATCTCCGCGAAGTATTCAAAGTTGTTATTATCAGTTTCTTGCTTTCTTCATAATTGTGAATGTTTCGCTGATTTTATGTATATTCCACTGTCGCGCAACTGCAATTCTAGAGGTGCTGATTTCCTTCACCGTGCCATTAACTTCCACCCAAGCCTGCATGGAGACCATTCTGACCTAAAATTCGGCCTTACTTCCCATAGTCCGTGAGAAGACCGTTTGCACCCCTATGAGTTTTGCAACCTGTAAATACTGTACATAGCGTCTGTCTTCTCTGTCACGACCAGTGGAAGATTAGCTCTTCAGTGAGCTAAACTGGTTCGAGATCACTTTCACTTTCCTAGTTTGTCCTTCCTAGAAGTCTGTGGTTACACCATTTCCCCCTCACTTCCTGTGACTCTAAGTACAACACGTAACCACGACGCACTAGCAGACATATAATATACAAACACACCAGAAACAAAACCTCTGTACTTGGAGGTAACGGAGGACACGACATTCAGCCTCACTGGACAAAGTAAGAATCTTACACAGAACTGGACTTCTTTGCACGAGGGATTAAAGGGGCCATCTATATCAGGACATTACAACCATCCCTCAACAGAGACGGGGGGCGCCACAGACTTTCTGCAACCTATGATCCACTACTCATGGAGTCACGTGTGTTATCTGCGTAACGTCGCGGAAGCGGTGGATTGCTCATTCCTTGACAAAGACTGGAGTTGTACAGTCGAAAATGTGGGTGAGTCCAATTTGTTGTGTTGGAAATTGCAGTTTAAACTGCTTCATAATGATTTCTACCAACACAGATGAACTTTCGAGACACGACTTGTACTTACCAGCTTTCGGTGGATATGTTCGCCAGACGGAAGTCGCTCCACTCACAACCCATGATCAGACTTAACGAGAAGTCCTGTAAAAATAATACACGTTTCATCAAGCTTCATGCGATTATAAAGATGTTATTGGTCACTCTTCATGCTGATGTGCTACTAATAAAATGAAATCAGTAGACAGTGTTTAATTTTTTATCAAGGGAGCTCGTTTTTCGTAAAATGTGGCTCCTATGGTCGTAAAAATAATTGGGTCCCTGACTGTATTTCTGGTACTTTTCGATGATTTAGTTATTAAGTCATTCATATAATTAATATCGAAAACATGCGTTGTTACAAACGATGATCATATCATTTGCATTATCGCACTTAAAGTGCAATTTTCCAGCAAAATATTGGATTCATTACGAAAACGTAATGCGTTGGCGTAAAGGTGAACATTTCCAAAGTTTATACAATATTTCATCATTTTTATACAAACAAATAAACATTTAGATAAGTCGTAGCGTCATCAAGTTCAGTTTTCTGCAAGTTTTGGTGAGCTGGTAAGACAGCAGCGTGGTGAAACTATAGATGACTTCCGTAAATAATTTCATCAGGTTGGTAAACGAATGAGTAGCAAAGTTCTTTCATCACAACCATTTTTTATACGAGCCGACGTTTCGATGACCGTCTGTCATCTTCATCAGGGCAATTCTGAAACGTCGAAACGTTCATCGAAACGTCAGCTCGCTAAAAAATGGTTGTGTTGAAAGAACTTTGCTGTTTATAGATGACTTACAACAAAAGGGACAGGATCAAGGTTGGGTCCAGCTTTCTTCTTTACCGGGCGACATTTTTGGGTTATGACGGAGTTACTGTCTCTCCCGAGAGGTTTAAATCGTCTGCCCAAGTGCGCGGGGGTTAGACGTGTCGACTCTGTAGGTGAACTCTATTAACCCCGCCTAATCTAATAGTCACACGTTAAGTACAGTAGATAGAGATGCTATCTCGCAAATACTGCTAGTTATGGCTCGCTATAAGGTTTTATTTCGGCCAGGCGGCCGGTATGTCACACCTCGCAGACGGGGATAGCTGTAACTCACGCCCGCCGTGCTACAGTAACGTTCTCAGGCGACGGTCTCAGTCTATCACTCATGTCACCGTTTTATCGTGTCGTTATGGTTTATTGGGCCCATATGCTGTGGCCTGCTAACTGCCGCTGCTGATAACGTCCTTTAACGTGCATCATGAACGGACAATATCCCGATCATCGCATGGCCATTTCCATCAATAAATACGCTTCAGTGTGAGCTAAGTGTCCATATCTCCAGCCGAGTATTAGGAGTGAAGTAAACATCGGGAAGCCGTAAAGACAAAGATCACGCTGTCCTGGCGCCAGGCGCCTTCTTCAAGACCCGATAAGACTGGCAATAAACACCGCAGGGCTTTCTGCCGTCCACATCGGAGATTTAAAACTATTCAGATTGATTACGTATGAAAGAGCAGCAACTTTTAAATGCTTCCTGTCCTCGGGCGTTAGGATTTGGCACAGCGAGATGAGTTTGTTACGAGTTCGCGCTGAAGCTGAAAGATCGGCCAGGCAGAAACTGGGTCACTGGATGATGCCGCTTCGGCCGTTATCATCTCCACCTCAAAGTGCGGATTTCCTGGCGTATGTCATGGGCCAATATAGCGATGACATATGGGCCACATTGTACATCTATTGGGCCACTACCGATAGCGCATAGGCCACACAGCATATGCCATGGGCCACCAGCGATGGGCCATAGGCCATATGGCATATCCCATGGGCCAACAGTGATGGCCTATGGGCCACATAGCATATGCCAAGGGCCACTAGCGATGGCCCATGGGCCACATAGCATATGCCATGGGCCACTAGCGATGGGCCATTGGCCACATGGCATATCCCACGGGCCACCAGAGTTGGCCCATGGGCCACATGGCATATCCCATGGGCGAACAGTGATGGCCTATGGACCACATGGCATATCCCTTGGGCCACGTGCTATATCCCCTGGGCCACCAGAGTTGGCCCATGGGCCACATGGCGTATCCCATGGGTGAACAGTGATGGCCTATGGACCACATGTATATCCCTTGGGCCACTAGCGATGGGCCATTGGCCACATGGCATATCCCACGGGCCACCAGAGTTGGCCCATGGGCCACATGGCGTATCCCATGGGTGAACAGTGATGGCCTATGGACCACATGTATATCCCTTGGGCCACTATGTACATCCCTTGGGCCACAAAACATACCACTGATAATGTCGTCTGCATCGAGACAAATGGGTGACTGCGTACATGGGCCACCGTGTAGCATTGTATAAATATGTAATGATGCCATTCAAGTTAACACAATATCAAATTGGGAAAAGACGTAGCAGAAATGTCTTGAGTGCCTCTGTTTGATTGATTAGCAAACTGGGACTCAAATAGTTGAAAAGAGAGAGTAGCACATAAGCATGAGAAAGTTTTTGACTTGGTTGGAGATAAAGGTGGTTGAATTTTAAGAAGACATAGATTAATTAAGATGATCCAATCACTTCGTGTGTCTGCCTAGTAAACTATTTTCGGATACAAAACGGATAATGTATTAAAAGTGTCTGTTGCTAAGAGAATGCCACCACGCATGCCAAAGGTGGTAAGATGTCTTACCATGGTTTTCTCTGAGAAGGACCCCATGCTGTCTATATAGACGCTGCAGCTCACATCAACAGGCTGGTCTGTAACACATAAACACACAAACAACGTTAGTTAGTAGAACCTAACTGGTACTACTCCGTGTGCTACACAGAAAGATGACTATGTATGGCCTCTTCGGGATGGACTTCATCACATAAATGAGGCTGGTCACATGCTTCGTCTTTGCACACGAAGGAAGCACTCGGGGTAGGTGTCAAGTTGTTCAAGTCTGGGGGTTGTAGGTTCGAATCCCTCGAGCAGCCCCCCAGTGTTCCTTGTCACTGTAGAAGGCACTTAAAACCTATATCCCCACTTCACTCAGGTGAAAATAAGTACATTGCTTCGGATAAGAACGTACTCTTGGATGGATCGTACAGCCGGAGGTTCGGTGAACACGAAATAAACTTGTCGTTTATTTCGTGTGCATAAAATCACGCCAAAATAAGCCTAAACCCAAACCTCTGCTAGGAGGGTAAGAACCCCGATCGATCGCCGCAAAGTTAGCCTGCATGAATCACAGGCGGCTTATCGTGAAATCGCAAACTTGTTCCGACATCGGCAAGTCGCCGAACCCTGCAGAGATGCTGATCAAGCGAACAACTTTCAGATCTGGGACACTGATAAGTATTTGTTCAGTCCACATTTGCCGATCCGTGTGGCATTGATCGTTGATTTACCGCCAGCAGGTGGATAAAATGGATACCTCGTGAGGAGGAACATAGATCGTCTTGTTCACTATCGATCTGTCAGTACAGAGACAACTCCGCCACCTCTGGTCTGTATCTGTACCTGTATCTGTTTAGCCGGTATAACCGGCTTTCGGCGTAACACACCAGCTTCGTAGGCACGCGGCGCGGTGGCAGCTAGATATATCACACCGAACGACTTGTTACAGTCAATCTTTGCACTTTTGATTGCAGGAGTTGTTTAAATCTTTCTAGTGATCTCCTTTACATCCCCACTGCATGGAGCCAATCTCTATGGACGGTCTTGTTTGTAGTTTGAACACCATGGGGTTTGTTTGGATTTGGCAGAAGCGACGTGGGTCAATGTTGGCTTGATGCAGTTTCACAGTAATGGCCCTCCGATAACTTCTGAAGCAGGTACATGGACTTCAGAATAGTCAACCACTATCAATCTATTTTATCGCATATGTGACTACGGACATCCTTGTTATACTTTTAGTACCTGGCTTAGTCCTATACATAGCAGCGTAAGACGGCCTAGTCTAACGGCATTATACCAGCTTGTCAGAGCAGATGTGCTGAAAGCTGTTACAACTGTATACTCTAATGCCAACATTTTTCTTTGCAAGGTATTGCACTCTTTGATAGTGACCCCAGTCGGTACATCTTCGTGAGAAACCAAAAAGGATCTGAGCTCGGGGGATTGAACCATAAGACCATACGTATAAACACGGCGCTGAACAGATAAAATCCTGGATTTCAGCACAAGACAGAATGCTCTGGAGGCGCGCTGTTTGTACACTAACACAACACCAGTTGTGGGAGAATGAGGGTATGGAATGTCTCAAAGAAGAGGTTTGTACCAAAATAGAAATTAAGACGCTCGTCCGGAGAGGAAGAACCTTTAAGATGCCCAATACTCCAGGTAGCCGTCGAGTACCGGTGAGAAACGACGCGAAGCTCCTGGACTTTTTTTATCATTATTCATCAAAACATAACAAGGACAGTGTGACGCTGCACTCAAGTTTATAAGTTATATTGACAGCGCCACACAACAACAACAAAACTCCTGGAGTTTCCTGTAGCTTGAATGATGGATCGCTCACAAATTAGAGACTCGGCCACGCTGAGCCCAGGTCCTGCTAACGTCTGCAGATGAGCTGGCTTGTCCTCCGAGGTGACAAATGAACAGGACTCCGACACAATCCCGGCGAGCCTGCGGCGATACTTCAAGGATCGATACGTGGACTTCTTCACGTCTTAGATAAGCTAGTTCTGCGGTCGCACCTGGGCTGGGAGCCTTCAGGCCTCTCCTACTGCCATCTGTCACGGCGTTATCGCTGTGCTGGTCGGCCTGACGGGGCGGCGGATTCAATAAGAACACTGCACGGAAAGCTTGACTTACCAATAGTAGTAAATGCCAGTTACGTCAGGTAATGTTTACTGGTCACTGACGAAAGCTAGTGGATGCTACCTGAAACGTCTGACCGTTTCCAAAATCATATCCAGTTGCTTGAGTAACTGTGTTTTGGCGTATTGCATTACCTGGATGTCTAACCTTCATCAACGAATGCTTACTGGTGTTTAATGGTGACGAAATTTACAATTAATGGTAGTTGATAAAAGCCATTTCGATGATGTGGGACTCGACATATATTTACTACCGTTGTAAAGTCATGTGCTGTTTACAAGATAAACACTGCACTGGCATTTACTACCACCGGCAAATCCAACCTTTTCTGCAATACTTTCCCCATTTGACCTCCCCATGTTATGTGCGGTAAGAAGCATTTTATTTACGATATTGGCAAATGTCACAGTGCATTACAATGAATTGTAAGCGACAAAATCGTCCGTCGGAAATAAATGACAGAAACATTGCCAACTTTACATCGATAAAGTTAGACATCCAGGTAATACGATACGCCCAAAATCAGTTACTCAAGGAACTGGATATGATTTTGCCAACGTTCTAACCGTGATCAAATCCACCTGTTTGGAATGTTTTGACCCCTTGCTGTGCGGTAGCGCTGCAGATTGCCGTGTCCATGAATGATGGAAGAGACTCTCCCTTGATGAACATGACATTGTCTGACAGGAACGCTTGATTTCCGTCCTGGGAGACGACAGAGATACAGAAGTTCACGCCAGGAATCAGACTAGATCAAGTTCCCGGAATGTAATTGCAGGACTAACAATGTTTTGGGCTTATCTGGAATGCGGGGAAATCCCAGCGTTTACGCGTTACTCCCGGCAAATTGAGCATGAAGAATGACAAGGTCAGAAAATACGCGGCAAACGAGTCTCATGTTAACTGTGGCGGAGCTTCGTTTGTCATAACCACATCAGCTGAGGAGTTTACAAAGCTGTCCCAATGTCACGTCCCACTCTTTCATTCCGTGCAGCGTTGGCACATCGTCAAGATTGCACTCTTCCCATGGCGTACTTCACTACCTTTCAGCTTAAATACTGAGTGTTATTTTCCATTTCTTTCATGTAACTTACTGAGTTATAGTTCAGCTTCTCCTCTTCATCATCATCTTACCTCGCACTTTCCTAGCCTCCTACATAGCTTGTAGGGTTGCCAGCCGGAGCTTCTATTGCGTGCGATCTACGTTCGATCAGAAAATAACCCCTCAACCCCCCCAAACAAAAAAACGACGGATCCGGGAACGCCTAGCATTCTCCTTACTTGCACGCCCATATGTGTAGATATATATAAAGGAATGCTTTGTTATTAGAAAAAATTCCGAAACTTGTGATTAGCCCACTCGATTGTTACACTTTATCAAAGACTTGTGCTATCCCTTATTATTTGAATAATTATGATGTAGATTTGTTAGCTTTATTCGACATTAGGTCTTGTTCAACACATTTTATTGTTTGCTACTCTCTTTATGTAGTTTGCCATACATTGTACCATGTGCAATTGTCGTGAAATAAAGTTCTTCTTCTTCTGTGTGCAGCCATCCCCATGGATAATGCCGCGGGATACTCTGCGCGCTGTCAAAGGACGATAAATCAATACAACCTGGTACAAATTGCCTCACATGTTACTCTAACAGGTGGGGCCGTACATCCGAGGTCTAATGATTTTCTGGTTTGTCCCTGTGCATGGTTTGTTCTGCAAGTGTCGGTGCAGGAAGCAGATGGAAAGTCAACAAGTAATCTTATTTTTTAAATAACTTTTTAGCATTAGCATTAGTCTAGGGGTGGTGGGACTACGGCGCACAGATATGTTAACTTTGTGTATTGTTGTAATTGTACTCTTTTGTTATGTGGCGCTGCTAATATATGTTTTGATGAATGAAAAAACTATCTTTAACATGAACGAAACTACTTTGAATGCTGCTATATATTTAGGTTCTGTCTCCTAGAGCCGAAAACTGGGCATATTCCAAACACGATGAAGAATGAAGTGCGGTATATGAGACTTTATTAAGCTGGTATGAAAGTGTGTAAGATACTCCCTAGTCGCAATAAAGGAAAACTGCAATATGTAAGACAGCGGGCAGCTCTGCCTGAAGAATCGAAGATCCCAAACGGTACACCGTGGGCGTTGTGATGTACGGAGGGTGAAAGTGTTCGATGTAGTGTCACGAATCCATGTCTTGTTCAGCGCGAATGCGTGCCTTGTGATAATGTAACACGGAGACGAACTCATCCCGCATTTGTCCCGGCGCTCCGCCTGCGAGGGCGAGACGAGATTGCCAACGTAAATCCTGCGGTGTTCAAAAACTCGTATTTCCCCAGGAAAAAAATGTCCAGACTGTGCATGATGTATAAAATGACTAATAAACTGGTGGACGTACCAACCACTAAGTATCTGATACCAGCCCAAAAAAGAACAAGAAACAGTCATGGCATCAAATATCAGAGTTATCAACCAAGAATTGAGGTATTCAAAAACTCGTATTTCCCCAGAACTATCGTAGACTGGGACTCGTTGCCACCAAGCACAGTTGGGGCATCATCACTAGAAAGCTTTAAACAACTCCTGCAATTAAATGGGCAAATATTGTGTGTCGTTAGGTGTGATATGGCTAGCTGCCGCCGCGCCGAGTGCCTGCGAAACTGTTGTGTTACGCAGACTGGCGGTTATGCCGATACAGATACAGAAATCTTCCCAGCGCGGAACAAACCTGGCCGGGCTGCTGGCTCCGGACTGCTTTATGCCCGATATCTCATCTGTCCACACACCAGGATGGCGGGTCATGTTCACGGGCGGAAACGTGTGTAAAGTAAGGAATCACGTCAAAAGGCCACTAAGGCAGAAGAATTGCCGTCTCTCTCTCTTCGTAAAAATGCTCTATATCAACGATGACATTTTTTCACTTGAAGTATACAAACATATA